AATTGGCTGTTTATTTGTAAAATTTATCTCTTAATTTTTTTTATAATTTTTTTGTCTTTAAAATTTTAATCGTTTTGTTTTTAAGTTTTTATTTCCAAAGTAATACTTATATAAAATTTTTAGTCGTTTTATTAATTTTTTAAATATTTAATAATTTATATTTTTTATCTTTAAACATTTTTTTATTTGCTTAAATGTTACATATATGTATACATATGCCTTGTTAAACTGTTTATTTTTGTGCTGCGGGCGGTGAGTTGCAACTAAAATGTTGTTGTTGTTGTCATTTTATAGCATAATGTTGCGCGAATTTCGTCAACTAATTAAGTAAACTTGTTGGTACAGTTGAAACTATACATATACATACATATATTATATATATACATATGAATATGTATATATATATATATGAAAATAGTTATATATACAAATAAATGAACAAAATATACTCCAAAGAAATCAACCAAATACATAGGTATACACTTATTAAATGCATACATGCATATACATACATAGATCTATGAACAATATGTATACATTTATATTTATATATACATAAATACATGTGTACATATAGGCAAAAGCATTTCTTAATGTGCGCTTGTTGCACTTTTTAGGCGTTTAAACGGAGAACGCAAATAAATAAAATAAAAAAATATAAATAAAATTAAAAAAATATATACCGAAATAAAAATAAATAATATGTGAATTACAAAACGTACAGGGTTTATTATTTAAAGTTATTATTTCTTAAATAAAAACCAAGCAAAATCCAAAAGGTCGCTTTGAAAGTGCAACGAGTGTATATAAAGAATATGTAATAAGCTTTATGTACATATAAATAACATACAAGTAAGTTGAAAAATGAATATACACAGCTAAACATACACACACAGTTATACATACACACACATATATACAAGTGAAAAAAATTGTTATTAAAGAAGTTTTGCCAACGCACGGCAGAGAGAGTCTAATAAATAAGAAAATAAAATATATATAAAACTTGTTATATACATATAAACAAAAGAAGTTATTTGTGAGCTTAAAGAAAGCGAACATTTTTGCCATATTACCATATTAGAACGTATTGAAATAATTGCAATTAATGTACTAAGAAAAAAAAACTGAAATGAAACGAAAATGTTTTTGTAGGCAAAATTAGACAAAAAAAAATTTTAACAAATATAAAAAAAAAAATCGGGAAAACAATTCAACATGAAAACAGACATATATGGTATGTACATATACATATATATGTATATAATATATATATATAACAATGATGCATATACACAATACAAAAGGATAGGTATATATTTATTATAGCAATAGTTGCCCGTCTGTTAAGCGGAATTTAAAATAGTCTTTAACTGTTATTTCGTTTAAGAAAAACGTGGCGAAGCCAAAAAAATTAAAAAAAAAAAAACAAATAACCGCAAAGAGCAACATGATATTTATATATACACACACTAAAAAGTTTATGATGATATTTGTTAGTACCTAAAAGAAAAAATATATATACATACATATATATATATATATGGAATATTACTGTAATAATACTGCGATTAAATTTAACAAAAAGAAGCTAGAAAAGAAGTAGTGGGAAACGTATTTATAATTTTCACCAAAATCGAATTGTAATACCACAGAGCGCCAGAGAGCAGAACAACAACTAAAAAGTGTTACGAATAGGCTGCGCATACATTTACAGAGCCAAAATGATATTTTTGCCAATTTATATTAAAAACAAATACATACATACATACCTAGCTATGTAACTATGTTATACGTTGTTTTTGTTGAAAGAAAAATATATTAATAAAAATTAATTGTAAACCATTTTGTTTTTTTTTTTCTTAACCTGTATGCCAAATGGTATTTAATTACAGCAAATTAAAGTACATAGAACATAACATAAGAAAACAAAATAGCAAGAATTACGTTTGAAATTAACCGATACCGATGCAATAGCCGAAAAATATACAGAATTAAAATAGAGAAAATATAAATACATAAGACGAAACTATGAATATAAAAGCGTTTATATATATACATACATATATATAGCATAATTTGTTTAATGAATGATGATGCCGTTAATAATGAATAAAATATTTAAATTGGTAAGAAACGTAATGAACGAAAACTCAAAAGCATATGTGTTTTATTTCGACGATTAGAGAGGGAGTGAGTGTGAGAGAGGGAGAAGCAGGATGCCGATCGCAGAAGATGCTAAAAACATTAATTTATATATAAAACTTTGTATAAAATATCATTATAAATAATTACATAATTTTATTTTAAATATTTATAAAATTAAAAATTATAAAAATTAAATAAAATTATGTATATACCAAAATAATTATAAATATTTATTTTACAATCAATACTTATATTATCTTATTATAAATATTTATTAGAATTAATAATTAAAATTTTACAAAGTAAAAAAAACTTTATGAATTTAAAATAATTTGTTTTTTTTTTGTTTTTAATTAGAACTAATATTTAAAAATGTTTATAGTGAAAATTATAATTAATAAATTTATAATATTTTAAATTATTTCAAAAGTACTAAAATCTAATTTTTTCTTTTTTCTCTCACCAAAAACAGTTGAACGACGACTGCTGCGGGGCACAGTGTTGCTAGCTGATAAGCAATTAGGTGGCACAACCAGAGCAACAACTACAACTTTGACCAAGAACTATATATTTTGTGAGCAAAATGTGGATAATATTAGTATTGCCGATTATATTGAATTGCCAGCGGAGAGCTTTGAGTTCATAGAAACTGCAAGCACGGAAGTGTCTTGCTTGGAAATCGATAATATTGTGGAAAGCATTGAAGATATGAGCGATGAAAATGAACAAAATGTTGTTGACTCTCTGATTATTTGTTGTGCGCCAGTGGCAATACCTGAAACGACTGTTAACGAAAATTTAAACTTAACTAAATCTACGTTAGAAAGCGCGCCAGCGGCGAAGCGCGAAGTGGTTTCGTATCAACGTTACGGTCGTCGAAATAGCAAACAATTGCTGCAAAATAAATTTAAATGCCACTTGTGCGGCTTTGGTTGTGGCATCAAGGAGACGCTCTTGACACACTTCAAACGGGAGCATCCCACCTAGTACTGTGGTAGTGGCTGTTGCAACAATTAGCAATTAATTAAGTTTTCCAAAATGTAAATATTTTTTTAGACTAAGATTTTGTTTGTATTTGTAGAGTCAGGTCAATTATTGAATTACTGGTGATATGGATTTATTGCCATTTCAATAATTGCTACCGTAAGCCAACAGTAGACGGTACTACCTGCGTCTGTTGTTTTTATCATTTCCCCCCTCTACAATTCAGTTTGTCAACTACAACTCCACTATAACCTAACGGGAAATCCCCTCACGTTTGTGTTTTGTTAATACATCAATGTTATGATCACCTAATAGATAATGGTAAGAATCTATTGCAGAGAGGTTAACATTTACATAACTACAAACACACATACATTTAAAGTATTTATTTTAAAATAAATATAAAATATTCATAAAACAGAATTAAAAAAGTTTATACAATTGCAAATGAAAAAAAATTAACAAATAAAAAAATTAGAATACCAAAAATTAATTAAAAACTAATATATTTTTACGCAACAGGTTGCAAGTGTATAAGAATTCTTATATAAATAATATTAGCAAGCTTTATTAGTCGTATAATGTTTGTATTCTCTTATTATCATGCTTAAATATATAAATAAATAAATAAAATAATGTGACAATTTATTTTTTAGTGATTATTTAAAATAGGCGCATCACTTTTTCGTTGTTTATTTTTTACTTTTACTTTCATTTTAATTTTTTAATTATTATTTTTTTCAATTTACGCCATATTTACATGTACTCACCTATTCTTCTTTCATTTTCTTTTTGCAGAAAACTATTGGGCGCTTTCCATCAAATCTGTGACGTCATTGAACAATATCGCTTGGAAAGAAATACTGAAGAAACGACATAACGCAGCCAATCCTGCGCAATGCCCTGATAGTTTTAATGATGAAAAAAATGATGCGTTAACGCTCTCCTCCATAACGGATCCACATGTATGTCCGCGTTGTGATAAAATGTATGCATATAAAAAGAATTTGTCGCGTCATTTGCGCTTTGAGTGTGGCAAGAAACCCTCAGAACGCTGCCCGCATTGCTCTTACATAACGCGGTACCGGCATAGCCTTAATACGCATATGAAGACGCAGCATACGGAAATTGCTTTAGCGCAAGGGAAGACTGAGCATACTTAATAAAGTCCAGAATTACGACATTTACAAATATACAGTTATGTATGTATAGATAAATATGTCATCTTTTAAATTCGCTAGCCACCTTACATGAGGCGTTTGGACAATATTGAGCATTCGTAAATATGTTTAAGTGAAGTTAGCATATCTTCGCTAGCACTGAAGTACGGCTTGAAAATTAACAAACACAAAAACAAAAAAATGTTTACCTTTCTATTTAAAGTTTGTTGTATTTTATAGCTTATTTTTCAGCTAAAAAAGTTGATGAAAATGGTATTGTAAATTTTGCTAGGTTATACATATAAATAAATATATAATATAGGTTTTGAAAATAAATAATTCTAAAAAAATCAGCAATGTGTCATTTAATGCTAATATAAAGATTTTAATGTTAATTGTTTTTCTAAACTTTCCATACACACACACATAACACACTTACATAAATCATTAATGTTAACTACACCTACATATCACAAACACTAATTTTTTGTATGTATGTATGAAAATGGAGTGCAAGTCACTCATACACATATGTATGTACACACATACACATACATACATATACATTTTTTTTTCGGAAGGATTTGCTTGTTTTCGATTTAATTCTTCTAATGCTAAAACTTTTTCATTTTATTTTTACTATAATTATAATTATAGCATAAATTATATTGAAAATAAAAATAATCTTTGTAATATTCCCTTCATTAGTGAAGCATGATAAATCGGAACAGACGGACATTACACCCGAGGAATTCGAATTGGACGATTGCCTGCTGGAGAGCAATGACATCGTGATTACCCAGAACAAAGATGGCTTTGTGTTGCATGTGAAGAAGTTGGGTAATATAACAACGGCTAAAATTGCGCCCACGGATGATGAACAAACAGTCGCTACCAATGTTAGTGAACTTAATGCTCAAGCGCATATAACGGATGTGCAAAATATTACAGATGTAAAGCCCACATTAGCAACGTTGACGAGCACCCCCATTAAGCTACCTTCCTCCGAGTGTGGTGAGTCATACATGTTAAATATTGTACACATAACGTTAAGAATAGTGTTAAGAAAGATTTATATGTATGAAATTAAAGATGAAAAGTGAGCGTGTTAGGCATAGATCGATCTGTGTTTGTTGGGTTCGACGTCTTTTGCGTTACAAAAAACGCTTGTTATATTGAAATAAAGTATCTTAAACGGCAAGTGAGACCATTTGAATGACAGAACTTGAAGTGAATGTTATTATAAGGCCGACGAAATTTTATGCTCCCTAATATTGAGGTGGTTTTTGATCGAAAACTTGTATATATTTCATTTTAAAAGTGTACGTATTAGATGTGTTTGTTTTCGGTACATGAGAAGAAGCTTTGCGAGTGCAAGTTAAAGAGCTTATATTGAGAACGCGAGTTGCATATATAAATATAGTAAATGAAGAAGGTATTTTTTCGGTATTACCCTTGTTTTGAGTGCCGTTTAGTATAAAATCTCAAAAAGATCTTACCTTCAAAAAAAAAAAAAGAAAAAAAATGTAGGGGATGGAAATTTATTATAGTCTAACTAGTCAATTATAAATAAAAATAATTAAATAGAATAGTTTATGATTAAATATTAATTTTTGTTTCCACAGCATCTAGTTATATATACGGTTTTTTTCTATTTTAATTGTTGGCAACTCTATATATATATATTTTAACTATATTCTCAAAGAAGTCCGAACAGAAGTCGTTTCGAATTTTTTAACGAACTAATTTTTTTATATGCTATAATTGATATCTCATATTTCCTAAATATTGTACTATTTTAAACGCTCTTAGTTTGCCATATATTTTCTAGGAATTCGCTTATTTTTCGAATAATACGAATTTCCAAAGTAATTTCTAAAACATTTCGCACGTACTTCATTTTATTATATTTTACTACTCCTAATAGATGACATCTCTATTTCAAATTATTTGCCAATTTTCTTTTGAATGATGGCAGCCCTATTTCAAAATAAATGTTTCTGAAAGATTTCCAAATATTTTCCCAAAAGTCGTTGTTAAACGTCTGTGACAGATATTTCGTTCATCTTTTCATCTTTATAATTTTTTAATGATATCAAGGCTTTTTCACACTATTTTTAAATTATAGACTATTGGAATTTTTAGTAGTCACAATTAAATGCTAGTGACATATATTTGGTCTTATTTTCAATTTTATTTTGTCGAAAGTTGGCAACTCTTTCCCGTACTTCTAAAGTGCTTCCTGTTTAATATTAATGTTTCAATAATTTTTCGCTCGAAAAGTCATTGTTAAAGTCATTGTGTCCAAAAATAATAAAAACAACCGGTCTGTAGTTTCGAGGTTCATAGGTTTTTATATAAATATATGTAAATGAACGATCTATTCCTCCTTAACGCTAACTACTTTAAATGCCCTGCTATTTACTTTAGAACTGATCAATTTGAAGAAGATAATACCGACGGTCTCTACAATCGCGACACACCAACCTTCTGCAACGATCATACAATCACACCAATTCGGACAGCAACCGCATACATCACATCAGCATCAGCACAGTCATGAATTGGAACAACAACAGCAACAACAACAACAACATCAGCAAATCCAACAAATGCAAACACATCCGCAAGTACAAAGCATCGTTACCACACATCCACCACACCACACACAGACAATCAATTTGATGAGCCTGCGAAATGTACAAATCGCCGAACAAAAACCGGTGGCATCGCGTATCAAATATTCACGTGGCAAAATAATAACACCACAAAGCACCACCGCCACCAGTGTACAAATCGTGGAAGCACACGATGCTGAGACGCAACACCACCACCAACTAACCGAAGGCACGAAATATGAAATAAGTGAAATCGATTTGAATAATCCATCGGCGTCGGCGGCGATCATCAGCGATTTGGTGAAATATGCTGAAATCGATGACATCGAACTGCCGGATGGCACCAAAATCGGCATCGGTTTTGCACCAACCGAAATCACCGAGCACATACAAACCAGCGTAGCGACGACGGCACAAGTGGCGACGGTCGACGAGGACTCCGAGCAGGCGATGCATCATCATCATCATCACCACCATCATCATGTGCAGCATTTACAGCAATCGCAAGTGCATCACATACATCCGCAGCATAGTCATCATTCGCAATTGCAGTTGCAGGAACAGGATGATGCCACAACGAGCGTTGAGGCAACTCTCTTGCCCGACGGCATTACACTGCACGAACAACCGACGATCACCAAGAGTTACACCATACTGACGACGCGGCCCATCAAACAGGAGGGCGCCACCAGCATTGACGGCACCACAACCACCACTTACGAACTGTCGTTGAGCGATTCGTCGATGCATCAGGATGATGCCGACTCAAAGTATGTGTGTCGTCATTGCGGCAAGAAGTACCGTTGGAAGTCGACATTGCGGCGTCACGAGAATGTTGAGTGTGGCGGCAAAGAGCCGTGCCACCCGTGCCCGCACTGCTCTTACAAGGCCAAGCAACGCGGCAATCTCGGCGTACATGTGCGTAAGCACCACCCCGACAAGCCGGCATTGGAAAGCAAGCGCGGCCGCAAATAAGGTGCTTCGTGTTTTTTACGGAGGAACGTAACTGTTGCTAGTACAATTGTTAGTTGGGAGAGAAATCTTTAGTTTTCCACTTTTTTCTGTACATAATTCTGTGTATGTAATGTCAACCGACACCCTGTGCTGGTACATATGTATGTACAACGTGCTAACTGCGTATGTATTGTAGTAACTACTTTTATTTACCTACCAAAAACTGGTTGAACTTAATTTTTTTTTGCAATTAATGAGCCCAGTTAAGACTTCAATTAGTTTTCATTATATTGAGTTTTGGTTGCCGTTATTGATTCGAAATCAATACGTAGAGACTTACTTGCAACCATTTACAACATGAATATTTTCTTGTGGCAATAGGACGGCTTTAATTTGGAGTGTCCAATTTATTTTTAAACTATTCTTTAGTAATTAAATTATAACAAATAATTATAGCACTATAAATGCGAAACATTCGCGAGCACGTCTGTTTTAAGTGTTTATGGAGAGAAGAGAGAAACAGCGCAAGCTTTATTATTGCTGATTTGTTTGCAATTAAAAGGAGATTCATTCGTAGAGTTCTAAATTTCAAAAACTTACTTTGCAAAAAAAGTAAATGTAAAATTTTCTTAGATCAAAAAATATATTTGAAAAAATTTTAAAAAATATAGTTTTTACAAAAAAAAAAAAGAATTACTTTGTAATTTTTTATTTTTATTCTGAAAGTTAAATTCTGAATATAATTTTCAGTAGTGTTAAATTCAAAGTTTTGCTAATTAATATTTTAAATTCAAAACCTACTTTGCGTACAATTATTTACCGAAAGTTTTCTATAAAAAGAGAATTCATAATTTATTATACAAAAAAATTACATACAAAAGAATCAAATTCAAACAACTTAAAGTTTATAAAATATTAAATTAAATTTATTTTTTTTTTTTGAAAAAGTTCAAATCAAAGTTTTTCCATGCAAAAAACTGAAAATCAAGGTTTTTTTTTAATAATTCAATTTTAAAACTTGTTAATTTCTTTATATAAGAAAATAATTAAATCTAAAGTTATTCCTTGAATATAAATTCAAATTCAAAATGTACTTTGCAAATATTACGTTCCATATTTTTCAATTTAAAAGAATTTCAATTCAAAAGTGTAATTATAAAGCAGTTAACTTCAAATATTATTTTAATAAAAATTAATTTAAAGGTTTGCTTTGTAACAAATTAAAAGCAAAATTTATTCGCAAAAAATACATTATGATTTTGGGCTTGCAAAAAAATTCTATAAAAATTTTTATTAGCAAAAAAATTTATACTTAATTAAGTTTTTAAAAAGATAATTAAAAAGATAAATTTTACATTCAATGTCTTGCTCTGTAAAAAAATAGGAGGCAAAGTTTTCCTTTACAATAATTTTAATTCAAAATTAAGCTTTATAAAATTAAATTTCTCAATTTTAAATATTTAAATTATTTTTGCCAGAAAAAATTTATAATCAAAGTTTGTCTTGAACAAATTAAATGTAAATTTTACTATTTTGATTTAAAGTATTTTTTACTTAACAAAAAAAATTAAATTAAATTGTTTTGAAAAAAAGTTAAATTAAAATTGTTTCGCAAGAAAAAAAAATAAATTAATATTTTACTTTGCAAAAATATTTGAATTCAAAATTTTTACTTTGCAATAAATTTAATTTTCCCAAAATTTCTTTTCCAAACAGTTCCATGATTTTTCTCAAATAGCAGGGGCACCGCCACCATCGCGCACATACATACATATGTACATATATGTATATATTTTCAATTTGAAAAAATTGCACATAAAAATCCAGAAGCCGTAAGAAAAACAAAAACCTTTAGAATGTGGTCTAAAACGTTACACAAAGTCTAATTCAAGGCGCGCAAAGCATTCGTTGGAGGTGAAAGTGTGAGGGCATTATCAAAATATTTCTTTGATAACAACAACAAAACTACTTACTATAACGTAGAAAAGCTTTTTAAAGTACTAACTAAGCTAATTTTAGCTGTACAGTTATTAGACATACTTAAATGCAATTTTTCAAGTTGTATAGTATATTTTCAAAACTTTATTTTTTGCTTGATTATTATACCTGTAAAAAAATGTTTAGTGAATGTTGATGCATATTAGCAAAAATTAAGTGTAATTGCATATATAAGCAGAAACATGATCTGGCGAATGTAAAAATAAAAAAAAATGCACAACCAGAAGATTTCGCTGTAGGTTAATGAAAAATCTTGTGTGAACGTAAAAAGTGGAACAAATAAAACAATTACATAAATGTATGCATAAATATATTCTTATAACAAAAATTATGATGTGTGTAAAGGAATTCAAGAAGCAAAAAGAAAAAAAGTAGGAAAAAGTAAAAAAAAAAAACCAATAACAGTAAACCACATGCATTAAACGAAATTTTAATTTTCAATAAAAATTTATTAACTGTACAAAAATAAAAAAAAAACATAACACACATATGCATACATACACATTTGTATTTGTATGTAATTACGCAATAGTTAAATAATTAGTTTCTTAATTAGTTCACTCTTCTTAAGGTATAAGCTTGTGCACAGAAAACAAAAAATTAAGCAAATGAAGTCAATTAGGACTTACTTTGCTATTTCATTCGTGTACATAAATTATATGTGTACTTTTAAATATTGTATTAGTATTAATTCAATATTGAAAAATAAAGTTTTATTAAGTAATAATAAAATTGGAAATGTGGGCGACAACGTGTTTGCTTTCTATGGGTCACACACACACACATACACACAAAAATCATGCTAAGTTACTCGCATATTCTTCACACAACCTAAATCATCAAATTTTACGTCTCCTTTATAGCACGGTAGTTCATAAGCGTCTCATATATACTTTTACTAACCTATTTTTCTGTATTTACAGGTCTAAAGAAGCCTTAGTATGAGTGCAAGTGCTAAAAGTGTCATATAAGGTTTGTTTTTGGTGTGCCGTTGCTCAAGTTGCTGCAATATTAATGCTTTTATGCATTTTGTTGTTCTTTTTGTACGATTTTCGATTAATATATTTCTCTTTTCTAAGGTATTGCCGCGGCGTTGTCAACTTTGTGGGAGCGTACGGTGGAGCTAACAAAAAAGCGCCAAATAACCACAGGGACATTCATATTGGGTTTGAATTGGATAACAGTGTACACTTAACATATTAATAATTGTGCTTAGCTCTTAAAAAATTGTTAATTTATAAAGCATTAATATTATACTATATGAAATAGTTACATAAGGAAAGTACCAAGTGGTCTGTTTTTTCGAATCAAAGTGCCAATTGAGTAAAGTCATTTTTAGGTTAGGTGTGCGCAGGTTGTGTATATGTTTGTAATATATATACATATGTATGAAGATTTAACTAGTGATATATGTATATGTATAAATAATTTATTATATACGTTTTACAGTAATATACGAGGTATATATACTATATGCATAAATGAGTTACGCATGCGCATACAAAAATAAATTTTTATGTATAGATTTCAGTGCGCGTCTTTACACGTGCATTTAGTTTTTAAATTTTACGAAAAATTATTTTAGTACTATTTTTTTATGCAGCTCGATTTTTTTGAGCAAACCAATTTACTTTTCATAATTTAATTTACTCAACGCTTTGTTAGTTTTGTATTTGTCAAGTATTTATTCACCTATTTTAAAATTTCTTGCTTATTTTTCAACGTATTCTTGCCACTTACGCGCGAGCCTATTACTTTATAACGGTTAAATGTGTAAATTTTATAGCAATATATTATAGTATTTTTGCTATAATATATATATTATAGCAGCATTATATAGTATTTTCGTTTAAACGCTTACGTTTACCTGGAAATATCAGCTTTTCTTACGTACGCAGCACAAAAAGGACATTCATTAATATATACATACATACATATTAGAAATTAAAATTATTGTAACTATGTATTGATTCATATAGCCTTTGCATTTTGTACTTTACCATCTGCTACCTCACACGTTTGCATTTCATATACATATGTATGTATCTATAACTGTAACTGTATCATTTGGAAGTGGTATTCATTCATAAACGTATCGCTACATTGGCATTGGCTCGTTACTCGTTATTCGTTATTATATACATACATAGCTTAAGCGCAAATTATTATTTAAAAACTATTTTTCCTCTTCTTATGTGATTATTAGTTGCTTGACCTATACATATGTACATAAATACACAAATAGATGCTTCACTTGGACTAGGTATTGTTGCTGTCAGGTTCAAAATGTTTTTTTTTTCTGTATTTTAATTATAATTTTTTTTTTATAAATACTGTTTTGTAAGTCTTGATTTGTGTCAGTCCAAACTTAATATTATTTTTTCTCTCCTTTTTTTCTTTTTTTATTTTTCTACTTTTTTATTTTCATATAATTTGACAACAAAAACACACACGTTAATTTTTACCACCTTGACCACCACCACCACCACAACAACGCAAATGTAACATACTCACCATTAAAATAAATAAAAAAATGTGTGTAAAACACAACGGTACTAAATATACACATGTAAAATATGTATGTCAAACGTCAATGCAGATTTAAGTATTACGCGCATAGCGGGACTCACTTGGAACGAGTGGAATGCGCGTTTGGCCATGCCGTTGGTCACACAGTTGCGTGAAGGTGTCAATCCGTTAGTTTTCCCCACCGATCTCTCCATAAACACGATGGACAAGGCAGGCGGCATTGCGCTTGGTGGTGTCACACCCACTTTGGATTGCAAGTCACCGGCGCCGGAGACATCGAATGACATGACTGGCCTTAGCGCCGCCACTGACGCGCCTACAGCGAATACAACGCTGAATCGTAGCAGCTCAAGTGCGAGTGGCATAGACAAGCTGGGTGCCGCTGTTGTCGCCGCTGGCAGTGTGGGTGGCAAAATGAAGCACCTAACCGAAGAGGAAGCCGCCATATTGATGTTGAAGGCTACTGTGGAGAAGTCCACTGCCGCCAATAATAGCGGAAATCTGAGTGATACCAGCTACAGCGAGGATGTCGCTAACGCGGGCAGCAGCGCGATCAGCAACAGTGGCGACTATCATACAGCGCTTAGCGGCGCCGCCGCCTTCGCCGACATCAATATATTAAGTAATATAAGCGCATTGAATAGCTTCATCGGTGCTGGTGGTAATGGTATAGGTGGCAGTGCGGCGGCTGGTGCCGGCGGTGGTGGCCTCAGTGTCAGCGGTAGCGGTCATCCGTGTCCGGAATGCGGACGTGTGTATAAGCTGAAATCGTCGTTGCGTAACCACCAAAAGTGGGAGTGCGGCAAGGAGCCGCAATTCCAATGTCCCTTCTGTGTTTATCGTGCCAAACAGAAAATGCATATCGGTCGCCATATGGAGCGCATGCACAAAGAGAAATTCATCAAATTGGAAGATTTGAAAAGTTTCACCGGCAGCAGCGGCGATGACAGCGGCAGTGCACCGACTGCTGCTGCGGCAGCGGCGCTGGCGGCCAATACGGCCAGTGAGCTGCGTCAGAATTTCTCTTAGCTCGCTAGTGAATGCATAGTTGTTGTTAGTAGTGTTGCAAAGCGAGAGCGCGACGCTGCTGCAGAGCCATAAGAAACAAATGTTCGTTAGAATAAGCAGAACCTTACAAATAGACCGGTGTGTGCAACTCGAAAGTGTCGGCATAGTATTCGGGTTGTGCATGTATGCACACAAATATACATAGATACAAACAAACGAAAATAAGTGAATGTAAAAATGGAATCAGAGTGCCAAATTTTTAAATTTAATTTTTATTGATTTAATTATTTTTTTTTTTTTGTTTTTTCATAGTTTTAAAAAATGCCTTTTAATGTTTATACAACGATGTCGTTAAATCTGACAGCTGTGACCGTGAATGAAATTGCGAACTAAGCAAAAAAAATTAGAAAAACTTTAATCCTTTGGAATTTAAAATTTGCCATTAAACATTTTTTTTAATTACAAAATTATATATGCTCGTACATATGTATTTGAGCTAAAATCTGCTAACCTCAGATAATTGCAAATTATCGTTAGCAACAAAATGTTATTAATTCAATTTTTTTTATGCTAAAATGACAAGCGCTCATTTGTGTGTCTAAAACAAAGTTAAAGTTAATTGTACCATATTAATTAGTTTAAATGAAATGTTTACATATTTTTTTATTGTTATTATTGGCTACATTCATGCAAACATGCGTGTGTGACAGTAACGCGGAACAGCGGGAAACGCGATATTGCATAAGCATTCCAGGGGCTAAAGTGCAGCAAAGCAACATAACTTTTAAGTTTTAAAAGTACAATAACAATACGTAGAAATGACAAAAATCACAAATAGAATCATAAAAGTTTGGCAAAATTTCTAAATATCCAGTTACACTGTTCCAGACAGTAAATTGCACCAAAGCAACACCAACTTCAATGATAGAAATAACTTATAATAACAGTAAAACTGCGTTTCTCTAAATTTCTAAATAATCAGTTAAGCGGTTCTAGAATCAAATAGCATCCAAACAACAATTTGACTTTTTGTACAAAAACAAAGCGCAAAAAATTTAAATTACAACCGTAAAAACTTTCCAATATACAAATATGCTGTGTCGGAGTTATAAACAACAATAATTCAAAATAACTCAACTTTTAATTAAAAAAATGTACAACAACAAAACGCAAAAACAAAAAAGCACATATCTCAAAATTTCACAATATCGAGTTAAGCTGTTTTGTGTGCTGTTAACAGCGCTGTATGTATGTCAGCACATATATAACAATTTTTAGTAACCAAGCAACTTGATATTCCTCCCCACATAAAAGAGTTTGCAACGAAAAAATGCTCAGGTGTACTCAGGTGCTATAATAGTCCCTGTAATAGTACAAATTGAATATTAAATAACAGATTTATTTCTTGTTGCTTCACATGTGACATACAAACATAAATATATGTAGCATTTTGGTATTATTTTTATATGCAACAATATTTTTTGTAATTTTACTTTAAAGCCGCGTTAAACTAATACAATTGCACAATATTAAAAAAAGACACAGTTTAAAAGTTTTAAAAATACATAAAAATGGCATTGATGCGCCAAATAGTTGTAAGTGAGTTTTATATATACATATTTACAGTGTTGAAACATTCCACAAAGAGTTTTTTAAAAGACATACCAACTAATACATGCCTACTTATACAATTATATATATGAGAATATACAAACAAAATATATAAAATATATATTAAATGAATGTATGTGGCGTGTAGCACACGCATATATACATATAGTTGCCTATACACACACATATATAAGTAATAGTTTAGCACAAACGCGCATACAGCAACAAACTCAGTGAAAAAAAGCTTCAAATTTAGTCCTTGATTATTAAAAAATAATATTTATATACATACTTACATACATATATGTGTATATAGCGAGTAGCAAGTAGTAGTACGCCACAACAGTTTTCACATGGCAAGTCAATTTGTTTGTGATATAGCCGACGAATATACTACGCAGGCATAGTAGAGAAAATGTGAAAAGGCAGATGGTTAGACAAAAGACAAATAA